ATGACGAGGGATAGCGGTCTTAGCAGCGCCAGCAGGCCGGGGCCCGCCGGTAGCGGCAGCAACGTCGTCATGCCGCCCTCCTGGACGACTATGGAGTTTGGTGCTCCAGGCTCTCTCCTATACCGCCTCCTATTCCTCGACAAGCAATATCGCGCCTTTTCGCCTTGGCACGAAATTCCCCTTCACGCCGCGCTTCCCCCTTCCGCCTGCCCCTCCCCTCCGCCCGCGCACGGGGAGCCGGGCCTATCCGCCCTGTCATTTTTCTGCGTTACACCACGCGGAACGTGGGCAAAGTTCGAAATTGCCCAGGATGAGAACTTCACGCCGGTTCGAGTGGCGGAGCGGCAGCCAGGCGGGGGCCCCGCAAGATACGCGGAAAATTGCCAGTGGAACCTCGGCGTGCTACCACAGACTTGGGGCGATCCGAGGGCGCCCAACGAAGAGTACGGAGGCCTGCCGTACGACGGAAAGCCAGTGCAAGTGTTCGACGTGAGCGGCTCGCGCGGCGCCGCGAGAGTCGGGGACGTGTACGTGGTGAAGCCGCTCGCCGCGTTTGCCGCCGTGAGTCGCGCGCCCGCGGTTTCGTGGAAGGTGGTGGCCGTGGCCGTTGACGACCCGCTGGCTCTGGAGCTGCATGACGTGGCGGACGTACATCGGAAGCTTCCAGGAACGCTCGAGGAGATACGCGAGTGGTTGCGGTTATCAGACTGCATGGAACCAGGTGAGAGATTATTAAAACAGTATTTAAAGAGGTAAGGCAGGTTCAGCGCGGCTGGAGCTGCCGATTCTAGTCTTCCATTTATTAAGTCATCTGGTTAGGTCGGTGCCTTATGTTTTTTTGCCGCGAGAAGCGAAACAGTTACCAGACGAACGCGAGGCGACTTTCACTACTTCCGCTATCCGATAGGCACCCATCTCGCGTCGAAACAGGACCAATGTCGATTAGGACGTCTCGACGGGTGGCAGTCGGGCAGATGCTGCCAATAAAAGGCATCGTTGTGAGGAGAGCCGCGGGGAGCGGCGGAGAGCCGCGCAGTGACGCGGAGAGCTGCAGAGAGCTGCGGAGAATTGCGGGGACGGTACTCATAGTTGCGTGAGCGCGTGCAACCCTTTCTGTCCCGTCCGTTCCGTCGCTTATTTCGCGGGCCTGTTCGAAGCCTTACTCCATGTCCCTGCCCGTCGCCCGTCGCCCGTCGCCCGTCACCGTTGTCCCGCTCTCTTTCTCCTCCCTCCCGTTACGTCCGCCGTTACTCACGTCCTCCTAGTCTCTAATGTTTCTCCAACGCCGTCCGTCGACCGCGCTGTTGCCGTTAACTTTCGGTTTTACGCTCGTGGACCTTAAGGTATAACCTTCGTATCGCTTAGCTATAGCCAGCATTTCTCCACAGTAACGCCCAGCATTAGTATCGCTCAACCCTCGTGACTAGCCCTGGAGCGCCTGGCATTTGCTCTGCGCGCCGAGTGTCGCCATCTTTCCCTCCCTCTTCCCCCTGCTTCCACCCCCTACACTCCCCCACCTGTCCTTCCCACTCCCCCCTCCCACTCCTTCCCTCTCCCTTCCCCCCTCCCCCCCTCTCTCTCCCTCTCTCTCGTTCGCCCGCACCGTACTCTCTTCTAGCACCGCAAGCCGACCGCGCCTTGTGCATGCCGCCGTGCCTTCTCCGCGAGTCTAGGATTTCCGAGGCGTCTCAAAACGATTTTTTTTCCCTTCTTTTTTGAGCCTTACAGCGTCCTTACCCGCGAGTCGCTTTGTATTGTTCAGTAAATGCGAATAATCGAGTCGTGTCTGGGATCGCGGAACCTATTCGGACCTTTTCATTCGCCGCCTCTATTTCTCGCCATCGTCATTGGACGCGTTGTCGACGTCACCTTTACACGCTATGGCTTTTTTTTTTGCGTTGTGATTATGTTATTATCACACAGGCGCTACCGTCTTGGTCGTAGCCGCCTCGGTTCCATAACTCGATTCCTTCCCAATTACCCCTCCCTTGCTCCGCATTCCCCCCCCCGTCCTTTTTGTATGATAATTATATAAAAAAATATTCCCCCTGTCCGTCTAAACCGAGCTCGTTTCCTCGATAAAAGTCGAGCGCGCGCGTGAGCCGTAGTGTGCCAGTCGTGGCGCCACCCTTTTTTCAATCAATCGCGTGCTCCCGCCCAGTCGTTCCCACCGTCGACTGCTGTCCCTTGCTCGCTCCGCCTGCGTTCCGCCTGCGTTCCCTGCTGAGTTCCCTGCTCAGTCCGATCTCAGTCGACTCTCAGTCCGCCTAGTTTGAAATACCTCGCGCGTTCCGTCAGATCAGTGCGCAAGCGACACCGCACCGTGTCGGTCTCTCGCCTGTGAGAACGTGAGAAATTATTCGTTACTGGAAAAGCGGGTCGGGCCGGCAGGCCGCAGCCCTTTTCCGTCCTCTCCGCGCATCCGTTGTTCTCTCCTCCTTTAGCCGCTGTGAGCTGTGGCGACGGTCTTGGAAATTTAGCGGCTCCTGTCAAAACGCAGGAGGGATTTTCTGACGTCACCAGAATTGTAACAGCAAGCAGAAAAAAAAATCGGATAATAAGACGCATTAAACACCCAAACGTGGGTGTCCGCGTTTGCTTTTGATTAAGTTCACCCAAACATGTCGCACGTCGCAGAGCTCCTCGCGCATTAACGTTCACTTTCGCACGCACTCTCCAATCTCTCCTCGCTCTCCCCGCGCTTCGCGCTGTCCCAGCCCTCTTCCCTTTTTTGTTTTGTTTTTTTGTTTTTTGTTGTTGTTATTTTCCTTTCGCAATTCGCGCGCACCCTCCGCGCTCCCTGCTCTCCCCAGTGCATGCGATGCTCATGCCTCGCGCGCCTGCGCGCCTGCGCGTGACGTACATTCACTCTGACTAATGAAACTGTTTGGAAGGTCAATTGCTTGAGCAATCCTCTTCTTTCCCCTGCTTTCGACTTCATTCTAACTTAGAAAAAAGAAATACTTTTGTTTTTTTTGAAGTGGGTGCTTTAGGCCACGCAGGCCCGTTACTGGCTAGCTGGTAACAGGGTCTCCTAAACTCGATCACTGTAACGAGAAACGGGTGTGGTCTTGCCTCCCTAAGTGGTACCCTCCCCTCCGCTCTCCCCCCTTTTTCAACCCTTCCCACCCCACCCCTCTCCCTCCCCGCCAATCCCATTTCGCTTGTGCTCTCTGCCCGCCCTGCTCGTGCTCTCTCTCCTGCTAGTACTTGAACTCATTTTGCCCCTTCTTCTCACTTTCCCCATCCCCACCCTCCCGCCTCCCTCCTCCCCCCTTCCGCACATCCCACTCCCGTCTTCCCTTCCTTTCCCCTTTCTATCCCCCCCTCCTCCCGCCCTCCGCCTTTCCCCCCTCCCCTCGTTCCCGCGCCCCCGCACGCCGCGCCGCTCTAGGCGCCGAAGGCGTCGCGTTTGGCTTCAACGAGCGCGCGTTGGACCGCCGGCGCGTGCAGGCGCTGCTCAAGGAGTGCCACGTGGCATGGCAGCGCATGCACGCCACGCTCCCCATGCCCGAGCCATGGATCCCGCGCTCGCGCCCGCCCAAAATCTCCACTATCGAAGCCTTCTGGGTGCCTTATACCGAGCGCCATAGCAACTCGGGGAAAGGCGCGCTCACCATCCCCCTTTCGGACCCCAACCCGCGGAGCTACGGGGGGAGCAGTAGCGGGGGGGGCGGAAGGGGAGGGGGAGGCGCGGACGAGGAGGAAGAAGCGGGGGAAAGAGCAGGCGCGGGCGCGGGATCGGTATGGGAGGTGATGTCAGGAATAGAAGCGACGCGAATGCTAACGAAGCTGCGCGCGCGCAAGCACCTGTCGCGCCCCGCGTTCTACCAGATGAAGGGGACCATCCCCGGAGGCCCGGGGGTCGCCCTGGGCGGCGCTGCGGGCAGCAGGGGGTCCGGGCGCGCGGGGGGCGCAGGGAGCAAGGGGGGGAGACGGGGCAGTGCGGCTGGGGGAACTGGGGGAGCTGGGGCGGGGGCGGCAGCAGCGGTGGGAGCGGTTGGGGGAGTGGGAGCGGGAGCGGGAGGTGGAGGGGGAGGGGGAGGGGGAGGGGGAGGGGGAGGGGGAGCAGGGGCAGGGGCAGGGGCAGGCGGAGTGGGGGAGGAGGATGCGCATGGAAAGTCCAAGTTCCGGTGGGGGAAAGCGGCTAAGGATGTGAAATCCTGCACTGTGCCTGCTGTCTCTACTGGCTCGCCTAGAGCATCCTGGTCCCCCGCCCCTGATCCAGCCTCACCAGCAGCACCAGCAGCACCAGCAGCACCAGCAGCACCAGCAGCACCAGCAGCGGCAGCAGCGGCAGCAGCGGCAGCAGCGACACCAACGACAGCAGCGGTGGTGTCGCCAGCAGCAGCAGCAGCGGTGGCGGCGGCGGCGGGTTCAAGAGGAGGCAGCTTGGGAAGAGGGAGTGTGGGCGCGTCTCCTGGTGCGACCCAATCCCCTGCTGCGAGTCAGCCCAGGGTGGTACCATCCGTTGGGGACCCGTCTCCTGTCTCTGCCTCTGCCTCTGCCCCTCCTGCCATGCCCTCCCCTCTTTCTATATCCGCTCCTGCCCCCACTACCGCCCCGCCTCCTCTTGCCGTCGCTTCTGCCCCCGCTGCCCCTGTTCCCTTCCCTGCCGCCGCTGCCGCCGCTGCCGCTGCCACCGCTGCCGCTGCTGCCACCGGCGCTGCTGGTGTTGCTGCGGCTGCTGAGCCTGCCCCTGCTCCCATACAAGCGCCCCGTCTTGCTCCTACCTCCGTTGCCAATGCAGTGCCCGTTCCCGCTCGTTCCACCTCTGTCACTTCTGCAACCCCCCCAGCGCCACCAGCAGCCGCAGCCGCAGCCGCAGCAGCCGCAGCCGCAGCCGCAGCTGTAGCAGTGCCACCGCCACAAGTAGCAGCAACACCAGCAGCAGCAGCAGCACCAGCAGCAGCTGCACCGGCGCCTGCACGCGCGGCAGTGCTGGCGGCAGCAGCAGCCGCGGCAGCAGCCATGGGAGCAGGAACGATAGTGGTGGGCGGGGCTGGTACCGGATCGTCTAGAGGAGCAACAGCAGCAGCACCAGCACAAGCAGCAGCAGCGGCAGCACAAGCAGCTGCAGAGGGAGCAGGTTCGAGAGAGCAGCTCTCTACTGCAGCGGTAGAGGAAGGGCGAGGAGGAGGGAAAGGAGGAGCGAAACCGGGGCTGGTAGCGGCGGGCGTGTCGGCAGCGTCTGCGAGGAGACGAGCAGCGCTGGTGAAGGAAAAAGCGAGGTTGGAGGAGCTGCAACATCGGGAGGAGCAAGGCGGGGCACAGGGCGACGCAGGAGCACTGGCTGCCCCTGCTGCCGCTGCTGCCCCTGCTGCCGCTGCTGCCCCTGCTGCCGCTGCTGCTGCTGCTGCTGGTGCTGCTGCTGCTGCTGGCAGCGGCGGTTCAGGGGTTGATGCGGCAGTGGGAGGAGCAGTGGCAGGAGTGGCAGCAGGTGAGGTGGCAGCAGTGGGCCGGGGGGTGTCTGTGGATACAGCACGAGAGGGTGAAAAGGCTGCTGTTGCTGCCGTAGAAACAGCAGCGGCAGCAGCAGCAGCAGCAGCAGCAGCAGGCGAGGTAGCAGCAGTAACAGCAGCAGACGGTGTGGGGCCAGGCACTCTCGCAACCTCTGCTGTTGCTGGTGCTCCTGCAACTCCTGCTGCTGTTGCTGCTGGCGCTGCCGCGGCAGCTGCTGCGGCAGCAGGCGCAGGCATAGGTGCAGGCAGCGCAAGGAAAAGCATGTCTGTGCGGAAGGGCAAGGGGAAGGGCGCGGACGCTGGCAAGAGTAAGTCCGAGGGAGGGCAGGAGCAAGGGAAGCAGATGACGGCGAAAGGGACAGAGAAGGCGAAGGGTGTGACTGCAGCACAGGAGACAGGAGCAGGAGGAGCAGCAGGAGCAGCAGGAGCAGCAGGGATAGATGCTACTGTGTATGCTAATGGGCAAGACATGGTTGTTGCTTCTGGTGATGCTACCGCCGCTGCTACCTTCGAACCAGCGGCTGCTGCCGCTGCTGCTGCTTCAACTGCTGCCACTAATGCTACTGCCGCCGCTGCTACTGCTGCTACTGCCGCGGTGGCTACTGCTGCTGCTGTGGTTGCCGTTCCTGTCAGTGATGCAAAGGCGAAGGAGGGAGCTAAGGAGGGAGGCAAGGGAAAGCGCGGCCTCTCCGCAAGGAAGGCCAAGGGGGGGCAGCAGGAGAAGGGGAAGAAGGGCCAGACGAGTGTGCCGTCCGTACTGCCAAGTGAAGCCGCAAAAGCTGCAAATACTCTCTCAGGCGATGGTGCAGGTGCGATGGGGGCCTCTGAGGTGGGAGCCGAGAGGAGGGACGGAGCGGTGAAGGGCGGGGATGATGGGTTGAGTGCGGTTTCTTGGGGGAATGGCGGAGATGGGGGGGCAGCTGCTGGGTTAGAAAGCCGAGAAGATGAGCGGCAAGCGGCAGGAGCGGTGAAGGAGCCTTTGCTGCTGCAGAAGGAGCGGCAGCAGGCGGAGGAGGAGCAGGAGGAGAAGCAGCAGCTTTCGAAGCGGTTCAGTCCGGCGCCTCTGGATGTGCAGGGGTACGACGATGTGTATGATGCTGAATCCAACGCTGCTGCTCACTCGCAAGAGCTACAGCAGCAACAACAGCAGGAGCAGCAGCAACCGCACGTGTACGCGCCTCCCCTCACGCCCCAGCCTCTCACACCTCTCCCTGTGTCCACAGCACCTGCGCTCCTCTCCCCCTTGCGGCAGCAGCAGCAGCAGCGGTGGCAAGCCGTGGAGCAACAGCCGCCGGAGCGAGTGATAATAGAGGATCACGAGGCTGTGCTGGGTCTGGGGGAAAGGGATGAGGAGGAGGAGGAGGACGAGGACGAGGAGGAGGAGGAGGAGAGGGAGAGGGAGGGAGAGGAGTGGGAGGAGAGGGAGGAGCAGAAGCAGGGTGGGGGGTTAGGGGGAGCGGAATGGAGGGGTGGGGATGATGGTGATGATGGGATGAGGGGGGAAAGGGGAGGGGAGAGCGGGGGGGAGGAGGCAAAAGGGGTGAGAGCGAAGCTTGAGAGTGAGCAATCCGGAAGGGAAGAGGTAGGGGATGATGAGCGGGAGCAGGAGGAGGAGGGGGAAGGGGAGGGGAAGAGTGAGCAAAGGCAAGAGTCAGTGGCAGTGGTAGCAGGCTCTAAAACAGGGAAGGGAGGGGGAGGGGGCGGAGGAGGAGAGGGGGGAGGGAAAGGAGGCGGAGGCGGAGGTGCTGGGTCAGCGCCATCACCAAGAGCGCTGGGGATGGTGATGGCTGGGCTGAAGAAGCTGGTTAGTCCGAGGCAATCTGGTAACCACTCTGCCCGGCGTGGGAGAGGGTTCGGACGCTCTAGTAGCAGCTCTGGGGGGAGCGAGGGTGAGGTTGCTGCTTCTCCCACCGCTTCCGCCGCCGCTGTTGCTGCTGCTGTTGCTGCTGGTGCTGCTGCTGGTGCTGGTGCCAGTGTTGTTGCTGCTGCTGGTGGTGCTGGTGCTGGGGCGGAAGAAGGGGTGAGTGAAGCGGGAGGAGGCATGGATGGGGGGGTGTGGAGAGAGGAGCCTAAAGGTGGGTTGCAGCAGGTGAGAGAGGGGTTGGAGGAGGAAGGAGAAGGAGAAGCGGAGGAGGGAGAGGAGGACGGGGATGAGAGTGCAGGGGGGTTGCAGGGGATGCTGGCGGGGAGGGGTGTGTTGCTCATGGGTCGCCGATCAAAGCAGCAGCAGCAACAGCAGCAGCAACAGCAGCAGCAACAGCAGCAGCAACAGCAGGAGGAGGAGGAGGAGGAGGAGGAGGAGGAGGAAGGTGGGCGTTTCGAAGGGGAGATGGGTGATGAGGAAGGAGTGGGTGGTGGGAGGAAAGGAAGTGAAGGGGAAAGGTTGCTGGAGGTGGGACGAGAGGAGGCAGACGAGGAAGAAGAGGAAGGGGAGGAAGAGGAAGAGGAGGGGGAGGCGGAGGGGCCGGAGGAAGAGGAGGGGCAGGTGGAGGAGGAAGAGGAGGGGGAGAGAAGTGAAGTGGAGGAGGGGGAAGAGGAGGAGAGTGGCGGTTTGGTGAATGGGGGCAGTGGGGAGGAGAGAGAAGAGTTGGGTCAAGAAAGGGAGGAAGGTGAGGAGGGGGAGGGGGAAGAGGAAGAGGAGGGGGAAGAGGTGGAAGAGGGTGAGGAAGTGGAGGAGGGTGAGGAAGTGGAGGAGGGAGATGAGGAGCAGGAGGAGGAAGGGGAGGAGGAGGGGGAAGAGGAAGACTTGTATTCAGATATGGCTGTGAGTGAGGTGGGGGTTGAGAGGGAGAGCGGGAGGAGCAGCGGAAGAAGGGAGACGGAAGGAGAGAACCGAATAGAAGGGGCGATTGAAGAGGGGGAGGATGAGGAGGAGGGAGAGGAGGAGGAAGAGGAGGGAGACGAGGAGGAAGAGGAGGAAGAGGATGGAGAGGAGGGAGTGGAGGAGGGAGAGGAGAGAGATGAGGATGGGGTGGTTGGGGAGGTGGTACTTGGGGAGTTGAGAGAGAGGGGTGAGTCAAGAGGGAGGGTGAGTGAGGAGGAAGTGAGGGAGAGTGAGAGGGAGAGGGAAAGGGAGAGTGAGAGGGAGAGGGAAAGGGAGAGAGAGAGGGAGAGGGAGAGAGAGAGGGAAGCAAACGCTCGAGTTCAACGTGAGAAGGAGGGTAGGGGAAGGGGCTACGAGGAGGAAGGAAGGGGAAGCATGGATAGGGGTAGCGGTAGAGATGACGAGAGGGACAGAGGGATGGGAAGAGAGAAGGCGATGGGTGGTGAGAGGGTCAGGGACGGGGAGAGGGAAAGGGAGAGGGAGAGGGAGATAGAAAGGGAGAGAGATAGAGATAGGGAGATGGAAAGGGACAGGGGAAGGGAAGTGGAGCGTGCAAGACTGAGTGGGAGGGAAGATGATAGAGGGCGGGGGAGTGATAGGGATAGAGATGGTGAGCGAGAGAGGGGCCGAGAGTATGGATCAAGGGAGTATGGGGAGAGAGACGCTAGGGAGCGAGAACTGAGGGAGCGAGAATTGAGGGAGCGAGAATTGAGGGAGCGAGAATTGAGGGAGCGAGAATTGAGGGAGCGAGAAACGAGAGGAATGGGTTCCAGAGAAAGGGAGTGGAAGGGCGAGAGTGAGAGGGGTCGGGATGAGGATATGGAGAGGAGTAGGGAGAGGGAGAGGGAGAGGGAGAGGGAGAGGGACAGAGAGAGGGACAGGGACAGGGACAGGGATCGAGACGTGGAGTATGAGAGGGAGAGAGAGAGGGAACGGGAGAGGGAGAGGAATAGAGGCAGAGAGGGGCCGTTGCATAGTAGGGGGAGGTCTCCTGCAGGTAGGGCACCCAGACCTGAAGGCTATGGCCCCGGGGGCGAGCGGAGAGGCGAGGAGCGGAGAGGCGAGGAGAGGAGAGGGGATGAGAGGAGAGGGGATGACAGGAGAGGGGATGAGAGGAGAGGCGCAGGGGGTTATGATGGGGAGCGCGGGGGAAGCAGCAGTGGGTATGAGAGGGAGTATGGAGGAGGCAGAGGGGGAGCGGGAGGGGGAGGGGGAAGGGGAGGGGGAGGGGGAGGGGGAGGGTTCTCATTTGATCGAAGCAACTCATATGATCCAGAAAGGGAGCCGGAGAGGGAGAGGGAAAGGGAAAGGGAGAGGGAGAGGGAGAGGGGCGGTCCTGCACAGTACGATAGGGAGAGGGATAGGGCTGGAGGGCCGTATGACCGCGATAGGGAGAGGCAGAGAGACAGAGAGAAGGAGAGGGAGAGGGAAAGGGAGAGGGAGAGGGAAAGAGGCGGTCCAGGTTCAATGTACGATCACCAGCCTGTCACTCCTCCTCCGCCGGCTGACCATTCGCTGCCTCAGCAGCAGCAGCAGAGGCAGCAGCAGCCGCATTCGGCAAACTGGGATAGGGAGAGTGAAAGGGATTACCGGCATGGGCCGGGGGGAGGAGGGGGAGCAGGAGGAGGAGGAGGAGGGTACGATGGAGGGATAGAGTACCGTCGGACTAACACAGGTCACAGTGAGAAGGACTTTGAGACGGGCGCAGGGGCGTATGGAGCGGCGGGAGGGTATGGGCCTATGGGTGCTGCTGCTGGTCCTGGCGCTGCTGGCGGTGTTGGTATGGGAGGGATGGGAGGGGCTGGGCCGGGGGGAGCAGCAGGAGCAGGAGGAGCAGGCATGTATGGGTCTGCCGCATATAGGAGGCGGTTTGGCATGGAGGGCGGGGGGTATGCGGGCGGGGATGTGGGTGGGGAGAGGAGGCGGCCGGAGAATTTCGAGTCGGAGGAGATGGAGCTGCAGAAGCAGCTGTCGGGACAACGGGCAGACCGACGCCGCATGGTAGGTGCAAAGGGGTGAAGGAAAAAAGGGGAGAAGGGGAGGGAAGAGTGCGAGGGGGAGAGTGGGGGGCCGAGGGAGTGGGGGACGGAGAAACATGGATTGGGGGGGAGTGGATGCAACATGAATGTCTAACAAATTTCTAATTTCACCACATTTCATTTCTATTCTCAACCCACGTAAATTCTTATTTCCACTGGAAAGATAAATTAAATAATAATAGTAGTAGTAATACTAATACTAATACTAATAATAATAATAATAATAATATCATAAAAAAGCCTTTCCTCGAGTGAAGTTTTCCTTTTCTATACTTGCCTTTTCAATGGCGTTCATTCATGAAAACGAGTCCCTCAAGAACGTGATTATAGAGAATGTGTAGGTCGGGCCAAGCCAGGCCGGCCCGACAGGTTTGGTCTGGCCGAGGCGGGTAAAGCTTCCGTACGGGCCTGACCTGTCTCCCTTCCCCACTCCCTCCCACCCTTCTGAGGCGCCTCAAAAGTTGTTTCCGTCCGGGCCTGACCCGCTTCCCTTCCCCACTCCCTCCCACCTTCCTCCCCTCCCTCCCCCCCCCCCGTTCCCCCTCCCTCCCTCCCCGCTTCCCTCGCTCCCGCCTCTCCGTTCCTGTTCCATCACGTGCTCATTGCCTCTTCCCCCACCTCTGAGTCGACTCAAAAGTTCCTGTTCCATCACGTGCTCATTGCCTCTTCCCCCACCTCTGAGTCGACTCAAAAGTTCCTGTTCCATCACGTGCTCATTGCCTCTTCCCCCACCTCCCTGCCCATCCTCTTCTCCCAACCACCCTCTCCCCCTCTTACACACACACGTTCCTCCTCCCCTCTCCCTCGTCCCCCCTCCCTCCCCTGCCCCACCCCCCTCCCGCCATGCAACAGGATGCGATGAGGAAGCAGCAGATGCAGGGGCAGCAGGGCAGGGCAGGAGTACCAGCAGGCTGGGCCAAACCCAAGTGGTCCGATAAAGACGCCGCCGCAAACCCCCATGCCGCTGCTGCTGCCGCCGCCGCCGCCGGTGGTGGTGCTGCTGCTGGCGGTGCATTCGGCGCCTATGCTATGTTTGGAAACTTCGCAGGGGCTCCCCCGGGTGCTGCCGGTGCAGCAGGAGGAGCGGGTGGGCCGGCTGGTAACCCCATGGGTGCTGGAGCGGCAGCAGGTGGTAACCCTATGGTTCCGCCTGCGTTCATTCCCATGGGCCCTCTCGGCCCGATGATTCCTGTAGCACCTATGGGGGGTATGCCCATGGCTGGGTATGGCCCTGGGGGGATGATGCCTGGGCAGATGATGCCTGGGGGAGGGATGCAGGGTCGCATGCAGGGAATGCAAGGAATGCAGGGCATGCAAGGAATGCAAGGGATGCCCGGAGGGATGCCTGGTAGGCCGGGAATGCAAGGAATGCCTTATGGCGCCCCTCCCGGCTCTGCTGCTGCTGGTGCTGCTGGGGGTTCATTGTTATCCCAGCGAGCAGCAGCAGAGGAGCTTCGATCGGAGATCACGGAGCAGCGCTCGCTCTACTCGCAGCGCCTCTCTGTCGCCCTCACGCGGCGGGCGAGCCTCGGGTCGTATGAGAACGATGGGTCCGGAGGGGCACACCCGGGCGACGCCGTAGATCGGGAGAATCTGCACCGTACGTTTTCCGGGTATGGGGGGTATGGGGGGGGAGTACCCCCGGCTATGGTTAGGGGGACTCCGCCTAGGTATGGCATGGGGGGGAGGAGGCTGGGGGGGGGGGGGCGGGGGGGGAGGGGGCGGAGGGGTGGGGTATGCTGCGAGTGTAGGGGGAGGGTATGCTGGTAGTGTGGGGGGGTATGGGGAAGCGGGGGCGGGGTCTCTGAGTCGAATGAGCTCTGGTGATTGGTCAGATTTACAGGACACTCAGAGCGATATTGGGTTTGGGGGGGGTGGGGGGAGGGGAGGAGGGTACGGAGGGAGGGAGCGGGAAGGCGGGGGGTACTACGGGGGAGGGGGAGCAGGAGGGGGGGGGAGGAGGGGGGGCCGGGGTCAGTCGGGGGCAGTCCCAGAATGTCTGGCATGTCTGACAGGCATGGGGATAGGAGGCATCCCGAGGGTGTGGCAGAGGAAGTGGGAGGAGCAGGAGGAGGAGGAGGAGGGGGAGGGGGAGGGGGAGGGGGAGGGGGAGGGGGGAGGGGGAGGGGGAGGGCAGGGAGGGATGGAGAGGGGAGGGCCAGGCCCTCACTCGCACCACATGTATGGGCACCAGGATCGGGTCGGAGGGAGCTACCAGGAGAGAGGTGCGTATGGGCGAAGCCCGTCTCTTGGGCCCAGAGGGGGCGGTGGCAGCGGCAGCAGCAGCAGCGGGTACGGGCCTGCAGGGCCTGGAGGGGGAGGAGGGAGGGGGGAGCATTACCGGAGGGGGAGGAGCTCGGAGGAGGAAGAGGAGTATTTGGAGAAGCACAGGGGCGGCGAGGGAGTGGGAGGAGGAGGGGGAGGGGGAGGGGGAGAGTGGGTGGAGTCACCTGGAGGCAGCACCACGGGGTCAGTGCACAGCCACCAGATCCGGGAGGGAGTGAGAGAGGACTATGGCGCGGATGGCAGTGGCAGGCACAGGGGGGGCTATAGCGGCATGGCAGGCGGGGGCGGGGGAGGAGGGGGAGGCGGGTACGCACCTCATGGGCCGAGGGAGCTTCAGAGGCGGGCAAGCGACTCACCTCACGGGCTGGCAGCTGTGGGCGTGGGAGGTGGGGGAACAGCAGCAGGGGAGGACGCACGGTCCCTGCGCAGGCAGGCAGGGGGTAACTGCGTCAGCATTGGCACTTCTTCCACTGCTGCTGCGTATTCCACGGCTCCCACGCTTCTCCCCCCCGGGGTGGGCCCTGGGGTTGTCCCCCTAGAGGACGGGTTTGTTGAGGGCGCGGGTGGAGGAGGGGGGTACGGGGGAGGGCGGGCGGGCAGCACGAGCAGCAGCAGCCTTGCGAGCGGGCCGAGCGGGGAGAGGGGTGGGGGTGGAGGGGGGCTGAGGACGCAGCTAAGTGGGGTGTCGTCGGTGGGGGAGGGAGAGGTGGGGGCAGAGCGGACGATTGCCAAGGGGAGGCTGATGCGGCAGCTGCTGGCAGCCGAGCCGGAAAGGCGAGGGGGAGTAGGCGGGAGAGGAGGGAGAGGAGGCGGAGGGGGGAGGCCGGGGAGCAGTAGCAGCTCTAGCAGTGTGCCGGCGTCTAAGTAAGGTGGGGAGGGGAGGGGAGTGAGTGAGACGGCAAGGGAAAGTGAGGAGGGGAGAGTTTGCGGATAAGCAGCATGAGCATGAGCGTGAGCATCAGCTTTAGCGTCAGTGCAACAAGGGAGTTGACATCACGCAAGCATGGGCATCAGCTGAATGAGCTTTGAAAGTTGAATGGAACCCACCAATGTGTGCTGCAGCAGCAGCAACAGCAGCAGCATCAGCAGCATCAGCAACAATATGAGTGGACGGGTTACCCTACCAGCACCTTGGTAGGGCCTGTACCCGCCATCAATGAGCAAGTGTCGAGGAAAGGGAGTTGGAGCTGTGGAGGGCACATGGAGGCATCAGCCTGGGAAGTTACTCTCAGCTGGGTTGTATAACGCTGGTGTGTTTGCCAGGTAATGCTTCATATCTGGTGAAAGAGGTTCAGTGCAAAGTCTGGTGATTACTTGTTTGTGTTTTCTGGTTAGGAGGAAACAGCACTTTGTAGTGCCGTGTTTGTAGAGCTTGGTAGAAACTTCATGCAGGGTGTGGCGGAAGGAGAGAGTGCCTTGCTTGTGAGAGCCTTGTTCGTTCTCGACTTGCTGTTTTGGCCGTCCCTTCTCTAGAGGGGTTTTTTATGAGGTACCGGTAGTTGAATCATATGGTTGTGAGTAGTTCTTGTGGTTACATATGTAGAGATTCGATTTGTTGGGGAGCCATTTGGAAGTTGTAGAGTAGTATATATTAATATATAGTAATATTTCTTGCAGTGCTGGTTGTTCAACCTTTTTGTGTGTGCAAAATTGTGTTTCTGGTTTATCAATCGTGGTTGGATTTCGCTGCTGTTTGCGCTTCTGCCGACTTTTGCTGATGCTGCGTTTCTCATCTGTAATTTTCGTGTGGTACAGTACAGTGTGGGAAGAGGCTGACTGTACAGATCAGCTTCTGGATGCTGTCCACGCGTCAGTTTATGGTGGATAGAATGCGCCGCCATTTTTTGTTGCTGATTTCCTCCGCAACACTCGCATTTGGAGGCAGGTTTCCCGAAGGGTATCAAACCAGCGCTCCTGGCGTTTCAACAAAAAAATCCCAGTTCTAGGTCCGCGTGTGCTGAGTATAACGGAGTTTTGAACCACCAAAACACTTCCACTACAGTAAATATGAAGTGTGATCAGTTGACATTTACAGCATCAGAACCCCGTTTACCCCAGTTTAAGGTTTTATTGAGGTCGTAACATCCGGTTTACCCTAGTGACATCAGCGTGCAGTGTCCGTCCATGACCGTGAAGTGCAGTGAAAACAGGCGAAAACAGGCGTACCGCCATGGATTCTGTCAGGCACTAAGGAAGCCTCAATGTCTACAAATTTCCTATCAGTTACTAATTCTAAACGCGGATTCGGAATCTACATGACAAGACAAACAAGAAGATACTCTTTATGTGCTCAAATGTCGAGCATTGTAACTTCAAGTTTTTTGTCAGGCACTCCGTCACTCCCGTTGTTAACTACTGGAAGTGATCCCCAGAAGGTTTTCCCTATGCTAATGTCAGAAACTTATATTCCCGAGGAGACATCAGACACAACAAAGATTCTACCGCGATTAACTAATACCAAGGAACACTCAACTACCAAGGACAACAGTTTCATGCATCATCAGCCAAGGAAGAAAATAAGGCATTTGCAGCTACATCGCGGCTATAAGAGAACGGTGCTCAGAGCAGTCAGTTTAAACCACACATTTACGCGTGCTTCATCAAGCCTCGGTCGCAGTTTCTCCAGCTCTCATCATCGCACCATGCCGCGTGTGACGAAGAAGACTGTCAAGCCGGTAACCAAGTCTGCGGTTTCTGAAGTGATGGATCTGGCAGCTAAGGGACATCAGACAGAGCCGGCTACGCCGAAGCCGCAGTTGAAGGATGTAGAAGGTCCTTTTGACGGTGGTGTGCGCGCATCGCTGGCGAAGAGGCTGTCGGCACTTAAGTTTCCTTCTTCGGATGCGCCTGTTGGAGATGGGGACAACAACGCTAACGAAGGACAAGGAAAAGAGGAAGAGGTGAATTCGCCGACCGCTGCTCCTGATGCACCTGAGGAGGGAAGTGAAGACGAGGAAGAAGAGGATGACGGGTATCTCAGTGATGATCCTGAGGAGCGTTTTGACCCGGTGAAAGCTGGAGAAATTGCTGCGCGCGCGGGTTTCTCCATCACGCTGCTGGTTCCGATCAAGTACGAGGAGGAGGTTCCCCGTACTATCGACACGGTTAAGGGACTCCTTGCGTTGTGGAGGAAGTTTATGTCGGCTCACGTACTGACGACGACAAGGTGCCAAGTCCTCTTGCCGGCGTGGCTGTCAAAGAAGCGGTATGGGAGGATGCAAGTCACTTTCCAGCAAGCATCGGACGCGAACTACGTGTGGTGTCGCCAGATCCAGCACAAGATGTTGAATGAGGAGAGCATTTACCTGGACTGGCAGCACCCGGAAAACCCGGTCTACATTCAGGAGCGAGCCACTAACCCGGACTCCATCGAAGTGCTGCTGAAGAGTGTCCCGGCGGCTATTACGTCGAAAATGGTGTATGAATACCTGGTGAAGACGGTGTTGGAGAAGCGGGGTCGGACGCCGTTCCTCAGTGGGGCTGCCTTCCACAGGGTGGTGGATCCGGTTACCGGCGCAGACACTGACAAGATTCGGGGTCTGGTTAAGGGACACCCGGGGGATAAGTATCGCTGGTGGCATTTGTTGGTCGACTCAGTGCATCACAAGCAGCTCCTCGTGCATTACCCCTCGCTCACCTGTGATTTCTGCGCTGGCATGCATATGACGAAGTTTCACGATGATTTTGTTACGGAGCGGCAGGAGAACATCGGCAAGTGGAACCTGACTCTCGAGCGTCTGCACGCGATCAACGGTAAACCATCAACCACTAACCTTGCTTTTCAGGCTGTTGGGGCCCTGTTCGTCCCTGCTGACGGTCTCGTCGCCTTATACCTGAGAAGCTGCGTCCCTGCCTTTAGACGTGCGGGTGAAGAAGATTTTGCTCGATCCTGCGGTTGTTTTGGTCTCCACGGGAGGAAGAAGGGAGGATTGGCTGTGCGTCCAGGAGGCGTGCGGCAAGGCGCACGGATCCAGTTTTACGCAGGCGCTAGCGCATGTGAAGTCGGTGCAGCACTGTACAGCTATCCTGCAGGGGGACGCAGCAAGCAGGAAGAGCAGGGGGAAAATGAATTTCCTTCCGATTCGCAAGGAGTTTGGGCTGTAAAGGAGACAGTGCAGGGAAAGACGGCTGTCCGGAGTATTCATGACCGAGGCAGACGTGGCAAGCGAGAAGTAAGGAGGTTACCTGATCGTGGTGCGTGGATGTGCGTAGGAGTTTTGTTGTACCAAGCCCGTGGATGCGAAGGGGCCCTGTCTCAGTGGATTAATGGATAACACCCGCAATCTCACACTGTGCGAGGTCAATGTCAATGGCCTCGGAAGCAACGGCAAAAGAACTGCACACGCAAAGTGGATCAGAACAGTTGCAGACGTGGTGGTGCTCACAGACACGAGAATCAGAGGAGATCACAATTTCTGGACGCAGTTGAGACCTGGACAAAACATCGCGCCCGGGCTCGGGGAATGAAAACCAAAGGCTGCTGAGTTTCTGGAGAGCAGAGGACCTCAGAGACGCATTCCGGGTCCTGCATCCGAGCCGTCCAGAGTACACCTTTAGAGACAGGGCGACAAAGGCGAGCACTCGCATCGACAGGAGCTTGGTGTCGTTCTCGTTGCTCGGGCTACTGGCGGATGCGCGCCACGTCAAGATCCCAAGGGGGCTGTCGGACCACTGGTTCGACATTAAGGTAGCGCTCGCGGTGTCGGCGCCGGAAGATCAGGGCCCTGGCATGTGGAGGATGCAGGCAAAGCAAGCACGACGGAGAGGAGTTAAGACGGTGACAGCTAGCATCCTTAAGAAATTGGAGAACGAGGAAGAGATGGACCTGGGAAAGAAGCTAAAACTGCTCAGCATGGGCCTGAGAGAATACTCACGGGAGGAGCGAAAGAGGGTGAAGGCGACGGTGCAGCACCTGGAGGTAGTGGTGGAGCGACTGAGGCACAAAGTGATGCGATATTCGGGAGACAAGAGAGCACAAAACAGGTTGATGCGGAAGGAGGCGCACCTAGGGGCTTATCTCCAGAGCTGCAAAGATCGGATGCAAGTGTTAGCGGGAATCAAGGTGGAGCTCACCGGAGAAGTCCCATCGCCATACTTGTCGGCCAGAATCAAAGTACGGAAGAGACGGACGGTGGTGCGTGAGATCTCTCACCATGGAGTGGTGTACCAGGGGACAAAGGAGGTGCTGAAGGCGGCAGCGGACCATTTCAAAGCTGCTTTTGGCGAGGTGCTACCAGAGGAAGAGGTGGACTGGGGGACTTTCTCGGAAGGCGCCAGATTCTCGGAGACGGATGCAGCGCTCCTTGGGGCAGATTGGACGGAGGAGGAGGTCAAGCAGGCGCTGGAGAGCCTCCCGAAGAGGAAATCTCCCGGGCAGGACGGCTTGCCCGCGGAATATTTCATTCTGCACTGGGATCTGCTGAAAGCACATGTGATGAGTTTTGTCGGGGAATTCGCCAGGAAGGCGAGTATGCCGGAGAGCTTATCGACAGCGGTGACAGTCCTGCTGCATAAGAAGGGGCCAACAGATCAACTGGGGAACTACCGCCCCATCACACTTCTGTCAGTCATGTACAAGGTGGTTACAAAAGTTATGGCTACAAGGCTCAAAAAGGTGCTGGGCAAAGTCCTGTCAAAAGAACAGCACGGCTTCTTACCGGGGAAAAGCCTGGCGGACGCAGTATCAGTGGTAGCGGATGCGGTGGAGGCAGCAAACAGCGGCAAGGAAGATTGGCTACTGCTGCTGGTAGATTTCCAGAAGGCCTATGACACGGTCTCGAGGGTCTTCCTTTTCAGGGTCATGAAGGAGCTGGGGGTGCCTGACAATTTCATCGGCTGGACCAGGGGCCTGCATGCAGACGCAGGGACAAGGGTCATAATTAATGGGTGGTTAAGCGACAGGGTGGAGATGAACAGAGGGGTCAGGCAGGGGTGCCCACTGGCGCCATACCTGTTTCTTTGCGCACTCGAGCCGTTATGCAGAGCCACGCAGCGGGAGAAGCTGGGCATCGGACCGGTCGGGAAGGAGCCGCTTGCATATGTGGGATACGCCGACGACACATCATTTCTGCTGAATGGAGAAGCCCAACTGCGGAAGGTGGTGGAGGTCTTGGGCACCTTCGGGAAACAGTCAGGGCTGAAGGTGAATTGTGAAAAGTCAGTGGTTGTACCGCTGGGAAGCAACCGGGGAGAGCCGGCGCCGGCAGACGTCTCGTATAAATGGTCGGAGCAGGGAGAGCCGGAGAGGCTCTTGGGGGTGTGGATAACGCCCAACGGTGACCCGGATCCATCCTAGAAGAGGGCGTACGAAAGGATAAAAGAGGAGCTGAGGAAGTGGGAAGCGCAATATCTAACAACCACGGCAAGAGTGGCAGTGATTAGCTGCTATGTCCTGCCAGTACTGATGTTCCAGGCCCAAGTCTACTCGCCGCCGGAGGAGACGTGGGAAAAAATCAGGAAATTATGTCACGCGTTCGTATCGGCAGGGGAGGCGGCAGAAGAAAAAATATTCATCCTGTGGAGCGCGTACCTGGCGTGTCTGCCGCGGAAGGATGGAGGTCTGGGGCAGCTGGACCCGAAGCTTTGCCTGGACGGGCTGGCGATCCGCAGGATCGGAAAGTTTCTGAAGGAGCCGGACGGAACGCGCCGCTGGCTGGCAGAGAAGGCGGCGGCTTTCCCGCAAGGGCTGGCCACGCTGTACGCGCACCCGTCGGCAATAAAGCAGTGGCAGCGCGGGTAGCGAACGATGGAAGGCGGCGGCAAAAGTGTTCTGGAAATCACCTTTCGCGACACTGCCGGCACCAAGGAGCAGGTGGGAGGTGGAAGAGGAGTTTATTTGTTTCAACAGAAACATCATGCATCGAGGGGAGAGCCCTTTCGGTCACCAAATAGGCACAGCGGCCCTCATCACCACGCGCGTTCGGGACCTGCTCACGGACGGGCCAGGGGGACGGAGGGGGGTGAAAGATGAAGAGGTGCTGACGATTGAACTGGGAAGCAAGGAGGCGGCGGTCATGGCAAGGAAGGCATACGGGGCCATGCCGCCGGAGTGGAGGAAATTGATCGAGGAGCCGGCAACGGCCGAAGCTGTGGTGAAAGCATCGGGAGTGGTGAGGTACATCCTGCAAGGGCAACCGGCTAGACTCCCATGGGCAGTGGACGGGGTGGACGGCAGGAAGGTGGTCGCGTCCAGCATGTCCCTCGGTGAAGACGGGAGAATAGGGAAAAAAGCAAGAGCGGAGAAAACGTGTTTCGAAGCGTGCAGACTCCAACCGATGGCGGTTCAGAAAGGAATACTGCTTGGCCCCGTGGGAGATCCAAAGGTGCGGTTGCTGTCTCTACCAGGACTGTTCGCTGGGGGAGATTTGGTGCCGCTACGCGGGGTAAGGGCCGCATTATCCAAGGCGAAAGGGCGTTCTTGGAGACAAGCGGAGTGGGAGGACGTGTGGGGAAAAAAGATTGACTGGCGGAAGGTCATTGAGACCAGAGACTCGATAAATGTACCGGGCAAGGCGAGGGACGTCCTACTAAGGGTTCACAGCATGAACCTGCAGGTTGGGGGGAGGCTGGGTTTCTTCCAGAACATGATAGCATGTGTGCACTGTGGAGAGGAGGAAACCCTAGCACATTGTCTCTACAGCTGCCCGGTCATACAACCGATCATTGGCGCGCTGAAGCGGACGTTGCACATGCTGAACCCGGGCAGGTCGGTGGACTGTCTGGGGGACCTACTGTTTGGCGAAAAGGGCACAGCGTCAGGTTTTCCGGAGATGACGCTGACATCAGTGGTGCTTAGGCAGATCTGGTTGGCGCGATGCAATGCAGTTTGGCGCGCAGCTCCTTTCGAGAGAAAGAAGGTGGGGAGATGTGCTGTGCTGGACTTCATGACGCATGCGAGGGTGGTGCTGGCAGCAAGGGGAAGGCTGGCAGCGGCCGATGAAGGGAGAAGTTTCTGGAAGACAGACAACTGGAGCCATGTGGCTGCGGATGAGAAGTTGCAGCTTCATAAGATTTGCGGTGATGGTGGGCCAACAATTTGGGCGGCTCCTTTCCTCTCCATCTGGCGCAACCCGCGCACTTTCTATCAGCCTCCGTAGCATGCCATAGGGGGGCGGTGCGGCGTCCACAAGGCGTGGCCTAGACCCTCCAAGATATACAGTTACGACTGCGGATGTATCTATATTTGATAATATATTTACACGTCCAAAAAAAAAAAAAAAAAAAAAAGTGTCCGTCCATGACAGCTCTCCAGCATTCCTCGCTGGCAGGGCACCCAATTTGACGTGTCGTAGCTGGAAGGTGTGTACACGACCTTACTACTTTTCCTCAAAAACACCCATTCTGAACATGGTATAATGGTGTTACCGGAATCTCATACTTTCATACGAACTAGGCGGATTTGTCGGATTAACCAGTATAATTTGTCCCTACCCTGAGGGCGCGTCCCCTCCCTCGATCGATCGTGAGATCGCTGTCAAAAACCGATCGGGCACACCGATCGCAGGATCGGGGTTAGATTGGTAGGAGGTGACAGCAGCTTTGCGATTGCGGGTTGATTTCGAGCCCAGGGTGACAGGATCGAGAGTTTTGCAGGGAAAAACCCATCATCGATCGTCACAAAGCCCAGATCGGTGTGGGCATGAAAGCACATCGATCGTCGTCGGCGGAGGTGACAAGATCGTTTGGCACAATTTCTTGTACATTCGCAAGCCATCCTGAAAACTGGTTACCCTGTAAACTGCGACACTGTAGCTGCTCGATCGATCGAGGGCAGGATCGATCGAGGGAGGGGACGCGCCCTGAATCTCTCATGCATGTTTCTTCCACGTTCACGGCGAATCACTTAGGGTTTAGGGTTGTGACAAGGTGGAACTGGCATCAGGCTAATGCTATAGCACTACTTTAACAAAAAAGGCTAAACAACATAATGTACCCCAGCCAGTTACGACTGACGATGTATGCATGCCCATGTAATACATCTACACTCTAAAATAATGTACTCCAGCATTCTGCTCCCATCTCGTGAAGACCCAGGGGAGCCCTGCTCCCAAGAAGTCAACTTCTCTCATTCTTCTCGACTGCTGGCTTGGGTGCTCTCTGGTTCCTGCTGTCTGAAGGTCTGCTGCAGTGTTGCCTTTTGGAAGGGATGGGATGGGATGGGTGGGATGTACCGCCAATCGCATTCGCCTTGCCTTCAATCCTCCACAACCATATCTTCTGCTTTCACCTCGTGGAAAAGAGGCTAATTTTTGCAACTGCTCGCCTCGCCTCGTTGCGAACGACAGCCCATTTTCCCGTGTTTTTTCAAACTTGCCTTTTCTTTTATCTAGCTTCTCGTCTTCTCTTTGTTTGCCAAATTCATCGGTAACAATGCCGCCACCTTGCCGTGTAGCTCAAACACCGCGTCGTATACTTGCTTGCCGTCAAGTGCGGACCAGACGGTCAGCGTCAGGCATACTTTAGCAGCCTCCAACAATCATACCATATCCCTAGGGTGCACCTACCGTAACCCTAAAGCAGCCAAAATGGGTCGGCAAGGCGACGCGGCGCGAGGCGGTTCGGAGACCGTGTTTCTCGCGGGCGACGATGATGAGGAGGAGCGGGTCGTGGAATTCGACCCTACCGGCCGTTACGGACGCGTACGTGCTGTGACTCACTGCCAGTCTGTCACTGCCAGCCTGTCACCTTTTAAGCCACCTCGGAAGTAGACACTAGCCGTTACGGACACGTACGTGCTGTCTGATTCTCCCAGCCTCACACCTGCTTCGAGACGAGCGACGGTCGTAGTACGATCTCGCTTACTCCATCCCCACTAGCTTCGCATGATAATTTCCGCCTCCGTACCTAGGCCGTGGATTTTGAAAAAATCAACGTTTTTTTTTTTCCAACCGGACGCCTTTCGAGCCGCAGCCTCATACCCTCCCGGCATTCACCCACCTCGCAAGTTCCCTGACTAGTCAACCCTCCTCATCCTCGTCCTTTCACGACCCTACCTCCTCGCCGGACTAGGTCTCGCGCGGAATTACTCGAGCCTCATCGAGTTCAGTTACGAGCGGAACGATTAGGTCTTGTTAGCCAAGTCTTGTTCCGTCGATCAGCCAGGTCGTGTTCCGTCCAAGAGGAACGCGTGCGTATCAAGTCCACTCACTGGAGTTAATTTATATCTCGCCCGTTTCCTCCTCATGCTCCCTCCACCATCGTCGTCTCTTGGTGTCATTCCCCCGCCAATTCCCTCTTACTGTTTCCGTCGCGACTTTCGCGGCAGATCAAAACCCGCTCCCTCCGCATGCAAATACCTCTCGTCACGCTCCCTCCGCATTGTCGTCCTGTCGCACTCGCGCGGCGCGGAACTTGCTCAGCCCGCCGCTCTTCCCTCGAACTCCCGTTCTTTGTGTCTTGACTGTTGAGGCGCCGCAAGAGTCGTTTTGATCCTCTTCGTCTCTCGTGAATGGATATCTCGGGGTTCGGTTGACTGCTTGCGAGCGTAGCAGCAAGCGAGTGCAGCAACGGCGCTGCTGTCTCGGGGTTCGGTTGACTGCTGTCTGAATCCTTTTGTGTTTCTACTGCATCAAACCGCGTCGCATCCCATATCATCGCATCAATGCAAGCCCGCTGCTCATTTCTGATGTGTCGTCTCATCACCCACCAACCCCCCCGTCCTCCCCACCCCCGCAACCCCCTCCCCATGGCAGTTCGACTTGGTGTTAGGCAAGGGAGCCTTCAAGACCGTGTGAGCCATCTCCTTCCATCTCCTTCCATCTCCTTCTCCCTTCAATCATTCCCTCTGCATTCCCTCTCTCCCTCTCCCTTCCCTCTCTCCCCCTCCCTTCCTTTCTCCCTTTATCATGGCACTCCCTGCTCTCCCTGCTCCCTCCGCTTTCTCTGTTCTCCTCGTTCCTTCTCATGTCCTTCCCACGTCCACCCTCCCCATTCCATCTATTCACTCCCAACCCCCACCCCCATCCCATCCCGCCCACACTCCAATTCCCTCCCCGTCCCTCCTTCCCTTCACCCCCCCCTTCCCAACCAACCCTCCCCACCCCGTCCACCCTCGTCCGGTCCTCCTCTCTTCCCGTCTCTCTTCCCACCTCCACTCCTTCTTCCCTCCCCACTCCCTCACTCACTCGCTCATGCCCTCGCTTCGTGTTCTGCCGCCCCGCACTCACGCTCAGAACTTCCTCGCCCTGTCTTGAACCTCCCTTCCCCCATCCTTTGTACCCCCGCCGCCCGCCCCTCTCCCAGCGAAACACGCTCACAGCCCTCTCTTTCTTCCCCTCCCCTTTCTTCACCCCCCCTCCCCTCTCGTCTCCCCCCTCCCTCTCCTCCCCCCCCCTCCCTCTCCTTCCCCCCCACCACCCTCCCGGCTACTGCCACCCACCACCATTGCCCTGCCTGCCTTCCCTTTTCCTTCCCGCATGCTCTTATCCCCGTTATAACCATCCCAGATACAAGGCGTTTGACGAGGTGGACGGGATAGAGGTGGCGTGGAACCAGATGAAGGTGCGGGACGTGTTCCAGTCCAATGAGGATCTCGAGAGACTCTATAGCGAGGTGCATCTGCTCAAGACCCTTCGCCATAAGAACATAATCAAGTTCTTCAACTCCTGGGTGGATGCCAAGACCAAGAACGTCAACTTTATCACAGAGGTTTTCACCTCTGGCACACTTAGGCAGTAAGTGTTTCTTTTTTTATTTCTTGTTGGCGGGGGGGAGGGGGGGGGGGGAGGGGGGGGGGAAGGGGGTGGTGGGGGTTGGGGAAATGGGGGGGGTTGGGGAAATGGGGGGGGGAGGTAGAGGGTGTTTCCTATTACCTGTCAATTTATTGCAGTGGCATTTAAGTTATTTCTATATGTATGTTCCATGCTCATACTCCACCTTTTAATCAAGCCGTCTGGGCACACTCCCGTCCCCCTCCCTTTCTCTCCGTTCTTTCATTCCAGTCCCCTCCTCGCCTCACACCCCATCCCCCTCCCCCCCCTCCCCACAACCACCCCGCCGACTTTCCGACTCCCCATCTTCTTCCTCACCGTCAACCATTAACCTCACACCCCATCCCCCTTCCCCATCCTCCTCCTCCCCACTCCCTCGACCAAAACGCCTCGCCCCTCCCCCCCCTACCAGGTACCGCAAGCGGCACAAGCAGTGCGACGTGCGGGCGGTGAAGAGCTGGGCGCGGCAGATCCTGCGCGGGCTGCTGTACCTGCACTCGCACGACCCGCCCATCATCCACCGCGACCTCAAGTGCGACAACATCTTTGTCAACGGCCACCAGGGGGAGGTCAAGATCGAGGACTTGGGTCTGGCCGCCATTCTGCACCAGCGCGACGCCGCGCACAGCGTGATTGGTGAGGGGGGGAAGGGGGAGGAGGGGGGTAAGCGGGAGGGGGGAGGAGGGGTGAGGAGGGGAGGTAAGGGGAAGGGAAGGGGTTGGAAGGGATGAGTGTGATTTGAGCTGACCTGCACTCGCACGACCCGCCCATCATCCACCGCGACCTCAAGTGCGACAACATCTTTGTCAACGGCCACCAGGGCGAGGTCAAGATCGGGGATCTGGGGCTCGCGGCTATTCTCCACCAGCGCGACGCCGCGCACAGCGTGATTGGTGAGGGGTGCAGTGGGTGGGGAAGGTTGGGAGGTCCGGGAGCGGAAAGGGAGGGGCGGGGATGGGAGGGGAGGGGAGGGGAGGGGAGGGGAGGGGAGGGGAGGGGCGGGGATGGGAGGGGAGGGGAAGGGAGGGGAGGGGAGGGGAGGGGAGGAGAGGGGAGGGGAGGGGAGGGGAGGGGAGGGGAGGGGAGAGGTGTGGATGTGTGACGTGACTGTGACGGACCCCGTGTCTCACCAGGACGTGCATTGCAACCGAGCTCCAGGGTGGGCGGCTATGGCGGCAGCAGTTAGTAAGGTGAAGAAATACGCGCGCCGGAACGCGTAGGTGGGCTTCCATGCCCTTGCAGTAGAGACTTACGGACGGCTACCCCCCGCGGGGGGTGATGGATGGCTTACCTGCGGCAGTGCGCGGAGCTAGCGGCTAAGCTGCGCTTCAACGCAGCACCCACCCACCCACCTCATACGAGGCTGCCAAGTTGCTGACGGAATACCGCCAGCGCTGGAGCGTGTGCCTCCAACGGGCACAGGCCAATGCCCTCCGCTCCAAGACCAATGAGGCCCTGGCTGCGGACGAGCTAGGCATGCAGGGGCCCTTTCCCCCCCTTAGCGAGGGGCAGTTGCACCAGCTGATCGAGCCCCCGTTCGACCACTAGGTTCGGACAGAAGGGGGCGGGTGTGGCTAATATGTACGTCTGGTCCCCACCCTCCCTCGCCCTCCCTCCCACTGCAAACCAACCGCACCACCGTCCATGTCGCGTCACCCGTGCCTCTACCTTGTACCTAGCAACCCTTACCGTCTCATTCCCCCACTCCCTTTCCCCTCCCCGGGCAGGCACGCCGGAGTTCATGGCACCGCAGCCGTACGAGTATCTGCCTGCCAGTCCAGTCCAGTCCAGTCCCCGCTGCTGCTGCTGCCCACCTTATCGTTGACTCCGCACCACTTTCCCCTGGCTCCCCCTCCCCACCGGTTTCCCCCACCCCCCCCTCTCCCCCCCTTCCCCTCCCCTCCGTTCCCTACAGGCACGCCGGAGTTCATGGCGCCGGAGCTGTACGAGGAGGAGCAGAACGAGCTGGTGGACATATACGCGTCCAACCTGCTGCCATTCCATTCCCCCTGACCTGACCCCCATGCTAGAATTGACTTGACTTGACGCCACTTTCCCTTGCCCCTGGTCTCCCCATTCCCCCCCTCCCCCCACACACCAGGCACGCCCGAGTTCATGGCGCCGGAGCTATACGAGGAGGAGAGCAACGAGTTGGTGGACATATACGCGTTCCACCTGCTGCCAGCCAGCCCATCCGGCCCCCATGCTACCACTGACCTGTCACCGCGTTCCCCCTGCCTCCCTCCCCCGGTCCCCCCTCCCTCCACTCCCCCCCCCCCCCGTTCTCCTCCCCCAGGCACGCCCGAGTTCATGGCGCCGGAGCTGTACGAGGAGGAGTATAACGAGTTGGTGGACATATACGCGTTCGGCATGTGCGTGCTGGAGATGGTGACGCTTGAGTACCCCTACAGCGAGTGCACCAACGCCGCGCAGGTCTACAAGAAGGTCACCTCCGTGAGTGCAAGTCCTGCTGCTGCTGCTGCTGCTGCTGCTGCTGCTGCTCTGCTCCTGCCACCACCGCTGCGAGTGCTGCTGCTAAGACAGTCTCTCCCCCCGCCTTCCCCGCGACTGTTTTCAGTCAGCACAAAATCATCTCCTCTCCCCTCTCTCCTCTTCCCTCTCTCCTCGCCCCTCGCCCCTCTCCACAGGGCAAGAAGCCTCTGGCGCTGCAGCGAGTGAAGGACACAGCTCTGCGCGAGTTCATAGAGCTCTGTCTCGCCTCTGCCTCTCGCCGCCCGTCAGCTCGAGAGCTTCTCAACCACCCTTTCCTTGTGGAACCCCACCGGCCCTCCCCTGGCCTTGCCTACGCCTCCTCCTCCGTCGCTGCTTCCTCTCCCACTCTCGCTGCAGCGGTGCCCTCAGTGGTGCCTGTGCCGTCCGTGCTGCCCCCTGCAGCAGCAGCGGAAGCAGCAGCAAGCATTCGCACCAATGGCAGCACGATCAGCAGCAGCGGCAGTGGGAGTGGTGCTGTGACTACTGCCTTGCATCCGTCTCTCTCTGCTCCGTCTCTGCCGCTAGGAGGAGGAGCACACGTGGCAGTGCAGGGGGGCGCTGGAACGGGGAAGGAGCGAGCAGGGGGGAAGGAACAGGTTGGGGGGAGGGAAGCGGGAACGGAAGGGGGAAGGGTACGCCATTCGCCCATGAAATCCCCTCGAAAGGGAAAGGGATCGGTTGCATTTTCAGACAGGGTTCCTGGCTCGTCTACCTCCTTTGCTGCTGCTGGTGGTGATGGTGGTGGTGCTGCTGCTGCTACTGCGGCTGCTGCGGCTGCTGCTCCTTCTGCCACGTTGTTGGGTGTTGGCAGTCGAAGCATGGAGGGCATGGGGATGGGGAGTGAAAGGAGCACAGGGGGGTTGGAAGGCGCACCTCATGCACCGTTACACAGCAGCAGCAGCAGCCGGAGCATGGATGGAATGAGGCAGGAGAGTGCGAACACGAACAAGAGCACGAGCACGAACAAGAGCACGAACAAGAGCACGAACAAGAGCACGAACAAGAGCACGAACAAGAGCACGAGCACGGGCACGAGCACGGGCACGGGCACGGGCACGAGCACGGGCACGGGCACGAACACGAGCACGAGCACGGGCACAGGCACAAATGCAAGTACGAGTGTAAGACAAGGGCACAGGCGCAAGGGCAGCGAGGGGGCGGTGTCTGAGCTGGGATGGGGGGGGGTGGATAGTGGAATGGGGGAGCAGCAGCGCAACACAGGGAGAACCGCAATGGGGAGGATAGAGCAGGGGGTGGTGATGAGTGAACGGGGGTATGACAGTGCAGGAGGAGGGTGGGAGCAGAGCAGCAGCAGCAGCAGGCGCTTTGATCCCTCCCAAAACGCGGCTTCTATCGCCCGGTATGCAGGAGGAGGAGCGGGTAAGGAGGAGAGGGGCAGCAGGAGTGGGAGTGGGTTCTGGGGCGTAGGGAGCAGCAGCAACGGCAACAGTGGGATTGGAAACGGAGGGGGCAGTGGCAGTGGCAGTGGCAGTGGCAGTGGCATGTTGTGGCAAGGTGGGGATAGGAACTGGCCTGGAACTCCGTGGACCCATACGCCGATGATTAATAATGCTAGCAGTAGCAGTGTCTCTAGCAGGGGCGGTGGTGGCTTGGGCGTGGGCATGGGCATGGGCATGGGTCAGAGCATGGGTATGAGCATGGGTCAGAGCATGGAGGGGAGGATGGGGATGGGAGGAGCAGGCATGAGGACGAGCACGGGTACAAGAAGGGACAGGGGGGGAAGGGACAGGGGGGCGGATATGGGCATGGGCATGAGTGGGAGTGTTAGCATGGGCCAATTGTCAGGTGGCACGGCAAGGCATGACCAGGGGTATCCCCGGGACATGGCGAAGAGAGGGCCCATGGGCATGGGCATGGGGATGGGGATGGGGATGGGGATGGGGATTGGCAAGGGAATTGGCAAAGGGATGAGCATGGGGATGGGTGTGGGTAAGGAGGGGGGTACGGGGATGGGCATGGGAGTGGGGTAGGCAAGGGGATGGGTGTGCGGAAGGGTGCGGGTGCGAGAGACGTGGGTGGCATGGATTGGCAGTATGCAGGACACACGCAGGATACCCGTCGAGCCTTGCTCCGCCATTCCAAATCGCTGAACAGGAACTATGAGCATGAGCATGAGCATGAGCATGAGGATGAGTATGAGTATGGGAATGGGGATGAGGATGAGTATGAGGATGGGGATGAGTATGAGGATGGGGATGAGTATGTGGATGGGGATGGGGATGAGTATGAGGATGGGGATGGGGATGAGTATGAGGATGGGGATGGGGATGGGGATGGGGATGAGTATGAGGATGGAGATGAGTATGAGGATGGGGATGGGGATGAGTATGAGGATGGGGATGGGGATGGGGATGGGGATGGGGATGGGGATGGGGATGGGGATGGGTATGGGGATGGGGATGGGGATGGGGATGATCGAGCTGCTCTTTCTCGCCCTAGTGCTCTCTTGCATTCACAGTCCCACCTACACATGCCAGCACGAACACACAGTGGGGCGACTTCCGAGGCACCTCAAACCTCGCACTCCCACGTGTATATGTCAGCCCTTGGCGGGAGGGAGAAGCAGGGCAGGAGCAGCGGGCATGGGAGCAGCAGTGGGAAGCGTGCCGCTGGCGCTAGTGGCAGTGACGCACGGAGCAGCAATGGGGGTAATGAGGGCAGTGGGATCACTGGGGTGAAGGGGGTGAGAGGGGGCAGTGAGGAAAGTGCCGCCAACCGTGTTAAGCACAGGGTTGCTGGCGACTTCTCTGCCCGTGAGCTGGTATTCTCCTCCAGGCGCTCTGCTGCTGCTGCTGCTGCTGCTGCTGCTGCTGGTGGTGGTGTTGGTGGCATTGATGCTGCTTCTGGTGCTGCTGCTGATTCAATGCAATTCGGCGAGAGAGCAGCTGCATTGCAGGTGGTTGGGCAAAACGCGGGTCCTGCATGGGGTAGGTGGGATGATGCAGCTGACGAGAGCAGTGAGAGGATACTGGGGGGCCATGAGTTGCTAGATCATTATTATACAATGCATGGGCGGCAGCAGCAACAGCACCAGCAGGAGCAGCGGCAGCAGCGACGGCAGCAGGAGCAGCATGAGGGGAAGACGAAGCAGAGGGACCAGCGGCGGCATAAAAGGGAAGAGATTGAAGAGGCAGGGCAAGAGAGGGGCACGTTGGGAGTCACAGGTGACAGGCAGAGAGCCGCAGCAGCAGCAGTGGCGGCAGTGGCGGCAGTGGCAGGGTCTAGAAACAGTTATGTCAGTGGCAATGCAAACGAAGCCGCAGAGCGGAGCGGGGATGGTAGGGGGCATATGGGGGTGTGTGTCATTGCAGAGAAGGGAGAGGAGAGAGGGGATGGGGAAAGGAGAGAGAGTAGGGGCAGAGAGCAGGGTACTGATGGCACGGCTGCAACTGAGGGGGGTAATGGTTGCAGTGGTAGCAGGGGCACAGGGCGGCAGGAAGAGGGGCAGCAGGAGGAGGGGAATGGGGAGGGTGTGGGCACACAGCAGCAGCTTATAGACCCTGCGTGCGTGTGCCTGCGCCTGAGAGTGGCGGATGGCAAAGGTGAGTCTGTCCGTCCGTTCGTGCACATCACATATGTGGACTCTAGTATTGAGACGGCTGGAAGATTTGAGACGAGTTTTGAGACGTCTCAAACCAACTTAATTCGAGACGTCTCGAAACCGGATGCCAAAGGTGAGTCAGTCCGTCCGTGCAAATCGCATCTGTGGAATGTGGTCTCTTCTCTTCTCTCCATGTGCACATGCCATCGCGAATTCACCACTCCTGTTTGATGCTTGATAACTCTCACATGCGACACATGCATCGGATCTGCGGAATCTGATTTTGGGTATCTGATATGCGGAATGCCTTCTCTTGCCTTCTCTCTCACTGCTCCCCTCTGCTGTTTTCTCCCCCATTCCTCTCCCACATCCCCCCTTCCGATCCGCCCAACTCTCCCCCCACGACCCCTCCCGTTCCTTCCAACACCCCCCATTCCCCTTCCCCACACACAGGTCGCTCACAGGTCATCCAGTTCCCCTACAGCGTCGCCTCAGACTCGCCCTCCAGTGTGGCCCATGAGATGGTGGAGGCCTTCTCTCTGCCCTCCTCTGCCGTCCATGCCATCTCCTCCTCGATTCACCACCAGCTGCTCGCTCTCCTTCCCTCTGCCGCCCTGCCTACTGCTGCTGCTGCTGCTTCTGAGGGTATCGGTGCTGCAGTTGACGTGTTGCCGCCTGCTGCTGCAGCAGTGGATGCAATGGCAGCAGCAGCAGGAGGAGGAGCGTCGGCAGAGGCTTGTGATAGTACTGATGCTGCTTCGGGTGGTGATGGTGGGCTATCACCAAACGCTGCAGCGGCGGTAGCTGTTGCTGGGAGTGGTGGTGATGCCCGCGCAACGTCAGCCCCTGTCGCTCACACCAACCTCCCTCTTCCTTACTCTACTGCCCTCACCCATGCGTCGATTGGTTCTGAAATGTCGCCAAGTCTTGCTGCTGGTCATACTGGTGATGCTGGTGATGCTGGTAACGCAGGTGTTGCTGCTGATGCTGCTGTATCTACCCCTGCTACGCTGGTAGTGACTGCTGACACTGCTACTGCCTGCCTTCCTGTTGATGCCTCTGCCACCACTGCCACTGCTGCTGCCTCAATCACTGCTGCAGCCACAACAGCAGCACCAACAGCAGGAAAAGGAGCAGAATCAGGATCAGGAGAAGGAGCAGAAGCTATTGCTCCCTCTCTTGCCTCTCCCACTTCTGCAGCAGCAGCAGCAACAGCAGCAACAGCAGCAGCAGCAACAGCAGCAGCAGCAGCAGCAGCAGCAGCAGCAGCAGCAGCAGCAGCAGCAGCAACAGCAGCAGCAGCAGCAGCAGCAGCAGCAGCAACAGCAGCAGCAGCAGCAGCAGCAGCAGCAGCAGCAGCAGCAGCAGCAGCAACAGCAGCAGCAGCAGCAGCAGCAGCAGCAGCAGCAGCAGCAGCAGCAACAGCAGCAGCAGCAGCAGCAGCAGCAGCAGCAGCAGCAGCAGCAGCAGCAGCAGCAGCAGCAGCAGCAGCAGCAGCAGCAGCAGCAGCAGCAGCAGCAGCAGCAGCAGCAGCAGCAGCAGCAGCAGCAGCAGCAGCAGCAGCAGCAGCAGCAGCAGCAGCAGCAGCAGCAGCAGCAGCAGCAGCAGCAGCAGCAGCAGCAGCAGCAGCAGCAGCAGCAGCAGCAGCAGCAGCAGCAGCAGCAGCAGCAGCAGCAGCAGCAGCAGCAGCAGCAGCAGCAGCAGCAGCAGCAGCAGCAGCAGCAGCAGCAGCAGCAGCAGCAGCAGCAGCAGCAGCAGCAGCAGCAGCAGCAGCAGCAGCAGCAGCAGCAGCAGCAGCAGCAGCAGCAGCAGCAGCAGCAGCAGCAGCAGCAGCAGCAGCAGCAGCAGCAGCAGCAGCAGCAGCAGCAGCAGCAGCAGCAGCAGCAGCAGCAGCAGCAGCAGCAGCAGCAGCAGCAGCAGCAGCAGCAGCAGCAGCAGCAGCAGCAGCAGCAGCAGCAGCAGCAGCAGCAGCAGCAGCAGCAGCAGCAGCAGCAGCAGCAGCAGCAGCAGCAGCAGCAGCAGCAGCAGCAGCAGCAGCAGCAGCAGCAGCAGCAGCAGCAGCAGCAGCAGCAGCAGCAGCAGCAGCAGCAGCAGCAGCAGCAGCAGCAGCAGCAGCAGCAGCAGCAGCAGCAGCAGCAGCAGCAGCAGCAGCAGCAGCAGCAGCAGCAGCAGCAGCAGCAGCAGCAGCAGCAGCAGCAGCAGCAGCAGCAGCAGCAGCAGCAGCAGCAGCAGCAGCAGCAGCAGCAGCAGCAGCAGCAGCAGCAGCAGCAGCAGCAGCAGCAGCAGCAGCAGCAGCAGCAGCAGCAGCAGCAGCAGCAGCAGCAGCAGCAGCAGCAGCAGCAGCAGCAGCAGCAGCAGCAGCAGCAGCAGCAGCAGCAGCAGCAGCAGCAGCAGCAGCAGCAGCAGCAGCAGCAGCAGCAGCAGCAGCAGCAGCAGCAGCAGCAGCAGCAGCAGCAGCAGCAGCAGCAGCAGCAGCAGCAGCAGCAGCAGCAGCAGCAGCAGCAGCAGCAGCAGCAGCAGCAGCAGCAGCAGCAGCAGCAGCAGCAGCAGCAGCAGCAGCAGCAGCAGCAGCAGCAGCAGCAGCAGCAGCAGCAGCAGCAGCAGCAGCAGCAGCAGCAGCAGCAGCAGCAGCAGCAGCAGCAGCAGCAGCAGCAGCAGCAGCAGCAGCAGCAGCAGCAGCAGCAGCAGCAGCAGCAGCAGCAGCAGCAGCAGCAGCAGCAGCAGCAGCAGCAGCAGCAGCAGCAGCAGCAGCAGCAGCAGCAGCAGCAGCAGCAGCAGCAGCAGCAGCAGCAGCAGCAGCAGCAGCAGCAGCAGCAGCAGCAGCAGCAGCAGCAGCAGCAGCAGCAGCAGCAGCAGCAGCAGCAGCAGCAGCAGCAGCAGCAGCAGCAGCAGCAGCAGCAGCAGCAGCAGCAGCAGCAGCAGCAGCAGCAGCAGCAGCAGCAGCAGCAGCAGCAGCAGCAGCAGCAGCAGCAGCAGCAGCAGCAGCAGCAGCAGCAGCAGCAGCAGCAGCAGCAGCAGCAGCAGCAGCAGCAGCAGCAGCAGCAGCAGCAGCAGCAGCAGCAGCAGCAGCAGCAGCAGCAGCAGCAGCAGCAGCAGCAGCAGCAGCAGCAGCAGCAGCAGCAGCAGCAGCAGCAGCAGCAGCAGCAGCAGCAGCAGCAGCAGCAGCAGCAGCAGCAGCAGCAGCAGCAGCAGCAGCAGCAGCAGCAGCAGCAGCAGCAGCAGCAGCAGCAGCAGCAGCAGCAGCAGCAGCAGCAGCAGCAGCAGCAGCAGCAGCAGCAGCAGCAGCAGCAGCAGCAGCAGCAGCAGCAGCAGCAGCAGCAGCAGCAGCAGCAGCAGCAGCAGCAGCAGCAGCAGCAGCAGCAGCAGCAGCAGCAGCAGCAGCAGCAGCAGCAGCAGCAGCAGCAGCAGCAGCAGCAGCAGCAGCAGCAGCAGCAGCAGCAGCAGCAGCAGCAGCAGCAGCAGCAGCAGCAGCAGCAGCAGCAGCAGCAGCAGCAGCAGCAGCAGCAGCAGCAGCAGCAGCAGCAGCAGCAGCAGCAGCAGCAGCAGCAGCAGCAGCAGCAGCAGCAGCAGCAGCAGCAGCAGCAGCAGCAGCAGCAGCAGCAGCAGCAGCAGCAGCAGCAGCAGCAGCAGCAGCAGCAGCAGCAGCAGCAGCAGCAGCAGCAGCAGCAGCAGCAGCAGCAGCAGCAGCAGCAGCAGCAGCAGCAGCAGCAGCAGCAGCAGCAGCAGCAGCAGCAGCAGCAGCAGCAGCAGCAGCAGCAGCAGCAGCAGCAGCAGCAGCAGCAGCAGCAGCAGCAGCAGCAGCAGCAGCAGCAGCAGCAGCAGCAGCAGCAGCAGCAGCAGCAGCAGCAGCAGCAGCAGCAGCAGCAGCAGCAGCAGCAGCAGCAGCAGCAGCAGCAGCAGCAGCAGCAGCAGCAGCAGCAGCAGCAGCAGCAGCAGCAGCAGCAGCAGCAGCAGCAGCAGCAGCAGCAGCAGCAGCAGCAGCAGCAGCAGCAGCAGCAGCAGCAGCAGCAGCAGCAGCAGCAGCAGCAGCAGCAGCAGCAGCAGCAGCAGCAGCAGCAGCAGCAGCATGTGCTGACTCCTCTCTCCCTCCAGACTCCCCGTTCTCACTCGCTCCCACCTCCTTCCCCCCGCCTCTCATCCTCCCTCCGCCTCTCTCCACCGCCTCTTCCAATGCCACCAGCACTTTCGCTTCTGCCCTCGCCTCTCCCCACTCGCCCATGTGTGATCCCCACGCCACGTGCGTCTGTAGCAGCAGTGACGCAGCTGTGACTGGCTGTGCTGGGCCGGAGGGACTAGGCAGGGAAAGTCGGGCGTTTGAAGGAATGGCGGGAGGCGTGGTTGTAGGGGACGGGAGGAGCGAGATAGGTGGTGACTTCCGGACTGGGTCCATGAGTGTGGAAATGGGAATGGGAGTGGGAGAGGGAGTGGGAGAAGGAGAGGCAATGGCGAAGCACAGGGATGGAGAGGTTGAGGAGGGTGCGTGGGCAGGTGCGGAAGAGAAGGGGAAGGAAAGGAGTGACTATAAGGAGGACAGGGAGAGGGGTGACAGTTTGGTACCTGCTGTGCTGCCAGATAAGGGGCATGGCAAGGGGGGTGAGCCGATGGGTGGTATGGGCGTGGCCGATACTTGCCCTGCTTGCAAGGAAAACGAGACCAAAAACATAATGGGGAAGACTTTTGAGTCGACTCAAAAGTCAGCTCGTATGGGCGTGGCCGATACTTGCCCTGCTTGCAAGGAAGAGAGGGAGAACGAGACCAAAAACATAGTGGGGAAGAGGGCAGAGGAGAGGGAGGGGAGTGCCAAGACAGAGGTTGGGGATTGTGAAGACTCAGGCCAGTCAGAGAGTGTGGCTGTGGTGGAAGGTGACAGTATCGAAGGCTCGTATGGGTGGGGCGGGCATGCTTGTAGAGAGGGTGATTACAGAAAGAGTGCGTATAATGCGGAAAGGATGGTATCTCTAGATGCGGGAGGAAACAGGGCAGCAGAGCAGGGGGGCGGGGGGGAGTCTGGTAGTGTGGGAGGAGAGGGGAGCAATGGACGTACAGTTGAGGCGTGCGCGTGTGTGTTTGAACCACTGATGTCACCAGTCGATTCAGAAGTGGAGGCACGGGTTGTGGCAGCAGCAGAGGAGCTAGGTCGGAGGGGGGAAGGGAGTGCTGTGGTGGAGGAAGGGCAGTGGATGGTGCAGGGGCATGCAGTGGAGTGTGCATTGGATAGCTCTAGCTCGCCTGGTTTGATACAGGTCCCACTTCTGCTCCCTGTTGACTCTGATACCACTGCTGCTGATTCCACTGCTTTTGCTGCTACTGCTGCTGCTGCTGCTCCTTCTGCCTCTCTTGTTGGTGCATTGGACCAGGAAGCACCATCTGACTCTAGTATCGATCGCACTTCTGCATCTCGCCCTCCGGCCTCTGCGCCTGCCTCTGCCCCTGCCACCGCTGCTGCTGAATCTAGTGCCGCTGCCCATGCCGCAATCTCCGTAGAACAATCTCGTTCAGAATTATCAGCGCTTGTGCCCACGCCTGCTGCTCCAGCAGACCTTCAGCAGACAATACTGAGTCTGCCTGTAGTGAGTCAGGACTTTCTCGCGGCAGCCCAGGTTCAAGAGTCTGCAACCACTGATCCAGAGCTGCTGCAGGTACATGGAAGGTTCGTTTCATTCCCAACACCCTCGGAGGGCGGTGCTAGCAGTGACAACACCAAGGGCAGCAGCAGCGACAATTATAGTAATAATGAAAACAGCAGCAGCAGCAGCAACATTGGGATGTCTACACTTGATCCAGAAACAGCAGCAGAAGTAGCAGGAGTGGGCGAGGGACAATTGGAATCAGCAGCATCATCATTATCGTCATCAGCAGCGGCAGTGGCGGCAACAGCAGCAGCAGCAGCAGCAGGCGAGGAGTCATGTGGTGTGGCAGTGGAGTCGGCTGGAGTGCTGGTGGCAGCACCATCACCCGGGGGTGCAGTGATCAGTGCAGTACCGGCACCACTGGTAGGTCTCGCACTCTCCTCAGGAGAGTCCCTGGGGGCTCTCAGTTTGGAGGGTGCTGCTGCTGGGATGGAGGAAATGGAGGAGCTTGGGGGAATGGGGGGTGCTACAGTTGGCTCTTCTGCTGCAGCTGCTGCCTCCGCTACAGCTGCATCTGTCCCTTCAGAGGTAGACTGTAGAGGTTGGTTTTCTCTAGAATTGGCCTCTCGTGTACTGGCCGTGCCTGTGTGCGCAACAGAATCCTCAGAAGCATACACATCCGATCCACACGCATCAACAGCCCTCTCTTTGAAGGCACACGCTTTAGAAGCACATGTTTCAGGGGGGGTAGCGCTAGCACCACCACCACGACCACCTGCTTGTGCTGTGCATGCCGATGGCATCCATTCCGCAGGGGATATCCCAATAGAGAGGCAGCTGGAAGAGAGTCTGTTGACCCCGTTGACCCCGTCAACCCCGTTGTCTCCGTTGACTCTATTGGGGAAGCAGGAGCGGCGGCGAAGGGCGTTCACAGAGGCTCTTCTGAGGAGCCTGTCTCTCGGGGTGGGGAGCGCGAGGAAGCTGTGGAAGGGAGGCGCTGCTGCTGCTGCTGCTACTGGCGCTGGTGCTGCTGCTGGCACTGGCGCTGCTGCTGTTACTGCTGGCGCTGGCAGTTTGACAGTGCCTGGTGATGCTACTTCTGCTGCTGCTCCTCCTCCTGCTGCTGCTCCTCCTCCTGCTGCTGCTGCTGCTTCTAGCGCTGCTGGTTCAGTCGATGCTGCAGCTTCTCCTGCTGCTGCGGCCGCTGCTGCTGTTGCTGCTGCGGATGCTGGTGCCACGTCTCCTGGTACTGGCAGGTATGGCTTGAGCCCTTTTGGCTATCAATTTCTGGCGCCGGCACTCTTGGGAGAGAGCAAGAGGCGCAATAGCATCCATGGCACCTGCAACAACAGCAACGACAGCAGTCGCAGCAGCGGCAGCGGTTACAGGAGGAGCAGCAGCAGCAGCAGCAGCAGCAAGCAGGTGGAGGAGGAGCATCAGGTGCTGCAAGAGCGGCTGCTGCAGTGGAGTGAGCGGCTTCAGACGGGCGAGAGGAGGCAAACGAGAGAGAGGAGTCAGACGGGAGAGACAAGTCACTCGGGCGAGAAAGGTCAACCGGGGGAGAAACATCGGACAGGAGAGACAGTCTCAAGTGCAGCTGTGGCAGAAGAAGATCGAGAGAAGAGTGTGGTGGTGGCGCCGAAAGAGAGTACAAGTAGCAGGGTGGGTACTCATGCTGGTACTGGTCCTTCTGTGCTTGATTGTGAGGTGGAGAATGTGGAGCGGAATGGTTGTATGGGGTTGCAGGGAAGCGAAGCATGTGATAGCTGGCGGGTGGGGGCGAGTAATGTGGGTTTGCAGAGCGGGGAGAGGGTGAATGGAATGAAGGAAGAGAAGAGGAAGGTGATGGAGGAGTGGGAGATGTGGAAGGGAAGAGGGAGATGAGAACGGGGGATGAGGGGAAGGAGGGGCGGTTGAAGGAGGAGGGAACGGGGCAGGAGGAGAAGGGGGAGAAGCAGAAGGAGGAAGCGGGTGAATCGGAGGAGGAGAGGGAGGAGTTGGTGCGTTGCGATGCGGCATTGCTGGAGGATATGGAGAGGGAGATTGAAAGTGTGCGAGCCAAGTACAGGGAGAGGAGGGAGCAGCTGCATGCAACGTGGAGGGAGAGGAGGGCAGTGAGGATGCGAGGGGAGCAGCAGCACCACCAGGCCTCTTTGGTTTGGAGCGGACGCACAGACACTGCATAGTGTAACCAAGCCTGTCAATAAGGCAGTGCATAGTGTACCCGAGGCACTGCAGGTGTCCCCGAGCCTGTGGATGAGGCTCGGAAACAGGACATGCACGTAGTGCCTTGCTTACAGTGGGGAATGGGAGGGAAAGGAGAAGAGGGAAGGGAAAGTGGTTCCAGGAACTGGGGTTGAAATGGCAGTGGCATGGTTTTGACGTGAGGAGAGCGGGTAGGAGATAGGGGAGGGGCAGTCAGACTGGAGGGATGGGAACGAAACAGCAGGGAGGGTTCAGCAGAAAGGGCAACTTAGAGGGTGGGCAAGAGGGTGGTTGTTCCCCTTGGGAATATTGAAGGCTGTTGGAGCAAGCGGGTGAGTGAAGTGTGGATGCAAGCAGAAGGGGCAGGAAGGAACAGGACAGGAGACAGATGGACCTGAAAAGGTGGTGGGGGGAAGGGGACATGTGATGGGAGACAGATGGACCTGAAAAGGTGAAGAGGGGAATACTATAGCTGAATTTGTGTGAATTGAATTGAATTCGTTTTTTTACAGGTATTAGTGCAGACTGGGTTTCTAATCAGTAGATCTTTGCTATGTAGTTGTAAGAGACAGTTTATAGCGCATTTATGAGCCAGATACATGTATTATAAGATGAATTATTAGAGAATGTAGAGGATTAGGAAATATCAAAGGGGGGTATTGATTGACTGAAGTAAGACTACACGGTCCGCTTCTTCGTATGCTTACACAATGTACAGTGAACTTGATGCAGTTACACAGGGGTTGCGCAGTGTATCGCTGAGATCGGGCTTTCGGCCCAAAGTATGGTGGTGTTGCCCAATGACGGCGAAGTTGTAGAATCTCGCACAGTGCTGCAACATGTGGCCACATCTGACCACCATTCATGGTTGGACATCCTGTGCGGTGGAGCAAGCGAATGCAGAAACCGGAACCAAAGCCGCTTTTCAACATGCGCCGCTGATTTTGGTCCAGTTGCAACCCATCACCTCTCCTCACTCCCTCATCTCAGTTTCCCCCTTCAACTCGATTTTAGGAACCTTGAGAATTCCCCTGGAATTCGCTTTCTTCAGATCAAGTGAAGAGCCAAGGCAGGGCTTGCTTGTTGCCAAGCCCTAGCCTCGAGAAGAAGTCTTCGTCCCCACAGGCAGCCTTAGCATGGACGATTACGAAAAGCTAGAAAAAATCGGGGAAGGCACCTACGGTAAGGTGTACAAAGCACGATGCAGGAGAACAGGACAGATCGTCGCCCTGAAAAAAACGCGACTCGAGATGGAGGAAGAGGGTGTTCCCTCCACAACCCTGCGAGAAGTAGCTCTACTCAAGCTACTTTCACAGAGCATGTACATTGTCAGGTCAGACAATCTGTGAAGACCAATCTGCTTTCGGGTTTTGCAATTGTTGACGTCGTACTGAAGATCCGCAGCCGTTTCTCGCAGGCTGATAGCTGTCGAGCACGTCCTCACCAACGACAAGCCTGTGCTTTGTCTTGTATTCGAGTTCCTTGATACGGATCTTAAGAAGTACATAGATGTCAATGGTCGTGGCCCTGGACTTCCTTTGGAGCCGCATAAAGTGAAGGTGAGATGAGTTCGCTCTGTTCGCCAACTCCGTCCCTCTTGGTTCCGCCCCGTGTCTCACCCTCAGCTGTTGAAATGCAGAATTTCATGTATCAGCTGTGTCTTGGAGTATCTCATTGTCACAGCCGAGGGGTCATGCACAGGTACGACCGACAGTATGTCACTGATGCCTCCTGCTTCGACATCAACGTTCACTCATACCGTTTCTGCTTTGATCGCAGGGATTTAAAGCCACAAAATCTTCTTGTAGATAAAGAGAAGGGCATTCTAAAAATCGCAGATTTGGGTCTTGGCCGGGCCTTCACTGTCCCACTCAAGAGCTATACTCATGAGGTTGGCCAGCCTTCTTGGTACTGTTGCTCGCCAAATCTTTCCACACGATCTCTTTCACTGACTCGGTTCTTTTACCTGTCGTCAGATTGTGACCTTGTGGTACCGTGCACCTGAGGTTTTGCTGGGATCAATCTACTACTCAACCCCTGTGGACATGTGGTCTGTTGGATGCATTTTTGGTACGGCAAGCTACCTTTTCTCTGCTTACGGAAATACCACGTGTCGTTTCACTGAAGCAAATTGTATGTTTGGCAGCTGAAATGGCACGCAGAGCTCCTCTGTTTCCAGGCGATTCCGAGCTTCAGCAGCTTCTACACATCTTCAAGTAAAGTCCAAGCTCTTCAGCACATTGTGCAATATCTTCTTGTTCCCGTGCTCACGAAGTATCACGTGGTATGCAGGATTCTTGGGACTCCAAACGAAACCGTCTGGCCAGGCGTCACAAAATTGAAAGACTGGCATGACTTCCCTCAATGGCCCCCTCAAAACCTTGCACAGTTCGTCCCCGAGTTAGATCCCCTAGGCATTGACTTGTTAGAGGTGAGTGAAGCCTCCTTGCTATTCACTCGTTTAAAATGCGTACACTTAACTAAACTCGTCCATTTCCCTGTGTGCTATTGCAGAAGTGTTTGAAGTACGACCCTGCACAAAGAATATCTGCCAAAGATGCGCTCAACCACCCATACTTCGACAGCCTTGACAAGTCCCAATTTTAAGGATCTGTCATCATAAGAGGCACAAATGCCTGCTGTCATCTGCAAGTTATGAGTCATTACAGGAAGGTCTATAGTATGGTTTTTTCATATCTTATTACGATGTGTTTGCTGTCCATCCGTGCATGCACGCAGGGTGTGCCTAAGCCATCTGCGTAGCCTGTGTGAGGCATGCAATGATGTTCTCCACATACCCCCACATGGTTGCCTTTTGAAGGCATTTAGGGAAATCCTCTGGTGGGTGGGTGGTTGCAAATTTATATGGCCTTGACTGTTAGTGGTAGTCCCTTAAATTAGGTGGTTGTAAATCATGTACTGCATGTATTAAGCAAAATAATGCGCTAAAACAAACTGTATTCCCTCTGAAGCGGAACCGAGGCTACATTGTGTCGTGTTCAGGCTATATTATTCGTAGGCCCTCGTGGTATAGCTTGTACAGTTTTCAAGTCATGAGATACTCGTTGTACAGCTCACTATTGTATTATTACAGTCGCTTGGGAGTTGGGGTTGTACGCGATGCACTACGAACCGAGTAATGGAACAACTTTCTCGTTTATTTGCGAGATTGGCGACGAGCGGCGTAGACATCACCGTGGAAACCTGACCGTTTCTCGAATCTTTGAGAAAGCAGTTTCCCCTGGCATCCAAGACCCCCTCCGTCCGCTTCTTCCATTCCTCACGCACGTATCTATCTGCCCTCCTGCCCTCCTGGAGCCCGAACCGCCCCTAGGAATTAATTACTCCTGGCGTTTACTCCTTTGCCTGACGCCAGGAGAACTTCTTCGCAAGCACCGGACCGGGAACACTGAGTTTAGGCAATAGCGATTTCAAGCACTGAGTTCTTGCGAGAAAGGGAAGAACGCATCAGAGTGGGCGTAACGGAGCACCCCCGTGGATAGGGCTTACAAAATTGCGTTTTGGCATCTCATATCATCGGCACTTTTCTTCTTACCCGCCTTAGATTCTCGCTTCGAGTGCAGTTCGAGCCATCAACCCAGAAAGGCGCTTGTGAACGATTTCGAGAGTGGCCTTTATAGGAGTGGTAGCAAACGGACTGCAAAAAGCAGTACCACATTCAAGCCTTGAAGAGCCTTGAATCACTGCGAAGAGGCTCATGGCGACAATCCATAAAGGTGACATGGTAAGCCGCGGACGACCTCCCCTCTTCCTTTCCCCCTTCCCCCCACGGCCCCTCCCCTCCAACCCCCCTTCTCTCTCTCCCTCTCTCTCTCTCTCTCTCTCTCTCTCTCTCTCTCTCTCTCTCTCTCTCTCTCTCTCTCTCTCCCTCTCTCCCCCTCTCCCCCCCCCCCTTCTCTCTCTCGGACACTCACACCCCCCCCTTCCACACACACACACACACACACACACACCCCCACACACACACACCCACACACACGCAGACACACATACACACGTACACACACACGCAAACACACACACACACACACACACACTCACACACACACACACACACACGCACACACACACACACACACACACACACGCAAACACACACCCACACGCACACACGCACGCACATACACACACACACACACACACACACACACACACACACACACACACACACACACACACACACACACACACACACACATGTGCATGTGCATGTGTCTACACGCGCATGTGCAACCTGCGTCCGTGTGCGCGTGTGCCTGCCCCCATCCGTGTGCCTGTGTGGCCATGCAAGCAGGTGAAGCTGATCAGTGCGGAGGGCTTTGAGTTTGTCATCGACCGCCAGGCAGCCATGGTCTCAAACACGCTGCGAAGCATGCTCAGCTCCTCAGGTCAGCCACATGGTTAGCTCGTCCTCTGCGTGACATTATATACTGAGGTGACTTTTGAGTCGACTCAAAAGTCACCTCAAACACGCTGCGAAGCATGCTTAGCTCGTCAGGTCAGCCCCATGCTCAGCTCGTTCTCTCTTCCCCACCCTTCCCCACTTCCCCGCCCCCCCTCCTCGCCTTTCCCTCCCACCTCTGTGTTTGCTACCATCCTGGTTAGCATCCCACACTCTACTTGTGAATCCTCCGATCCTCTTTCGCTACTTCCCCTTTCCTTTTCTTTCTATCAGTCCCTCTATCCACGGCTATCCATGCCTCTCAACCTTCCTCCTGTTATTTCAACCATGCACCATCTATCCTCCCTCCTTTCCCTTCTCTTCCCCCCTGGCACCGCCTTCCCCCTGCCACCCCCTCCCCGCCTATACCCCTGTACCTTTGAACCGGCATTCCAGGGGGGTTCCAGGAGAGTGACAGCGGTGAGGTGCGATTCCCAGAGATCAGCACACCCATTCTGGAGAAGCTTTGCCAGTACTTTTACTACAAGCTGCGATACAGCAACCCTGCCAAGTGAGACT